ATTAAAGAACGATTTGTCTTGGATTTGTGAAATGTTGTCCAAATTTGCAAGAGTTGAAATATGCATTTACAGGATTTTTGGATGACAAATTTTTTGCATGCCTCTCCAAAATGTGCTCCAAGTTAAAGAGAATTGAATTGGAATCGTATTCTGAATTGGAATGCATAGCCAGAGACGACACTTTTTATCAATTTTTAAAATCTCAACCATTTTTGGAATATTTAGATGTTTTCCCATGTTCAGGAATTCCAGGTGAACTTTAAAAGCACATTGGAGAGTTTAAACAACTAAAAGAATTACATTTGAATCGGCGCGCCTTTACTCATCAAATCATTGAGACATCAAAGGGCATTTATTTTGGAGGGGGCATTCTTCATAATTTGCAAGTTTTAGATATTGGATGTTTTGATTTTCCACAGAGCTATTCAGAAGAAGAAATATCGAGATTGAAACAAAGTCTGAAAGATGTTGCTCCCAATCTTAAATACATGTGGGAGAATGTTCATTTTTATTCGAAAATCACAACGAACAGAATAATGCTGCGTCAAGTGAGAGTAACAATGATGTTTAGCATTTCAAACTATTTCTCGATAAACAAGTGATACCACTCAGGACCGTCTTCAATCCGTAATGTAATCCTTTGTTAATTTTACTTCTCTAGTCTTCATCAGCCACTTCTTGAAAGGAAATTGTGCACACATCTGAAAATGAATGCAGCGCTAAATGGCTCAACAATTTGTTGTGAAAATGTGAACAAAATCTTTGCAGCCGCAACTCCTTACTTTGATCTTCTGCGTCGTAATATTCATTTTCTGCAGCTAATTCAAAATAATAAATAGCTTTGGTGAGATTTTGTTCTGCGCCAATACCGTCTCGATACATTTCTGCCAAGCGATACTGTGCTTCAACAAAGTTAAGACTTGATGCAATTTTGAAATATTTCACTGCTTCTTCATAATTATTATCTATTTCAAATGTTTCTCCAATGGAAAAAGCAGCATATTCATGATTGAGTTGCACTGCCTGTTGATAGTATTCTATTGCTTTTCTAGTGTCTTTTTCCACTCCATCTCCCAATTCATACATCGTGCCAAGTACATATAATGCTTCTGCATAATGATTTTCAAATGCTAAATATTTGTTACATGTAACATCGTAATGAGTTTTTGAGCTGCCAATTCAAATAACTCCATTGCCTTTGTGAAGTCTTGTTGTACTCCATTTCCATAATAATACATATTTCCCAAATTATGGAAACCACTTGAATAATTTTGTTTTGCAGCCATTTCATAATATTCCTTAGCTTTAGTATAATCAATGTCGACTCCATTTCCATTCGAATAAATATTTCCCATCATGTTTTGAGAAAAGTAGTGAGATTTGAGAGAATCCGATGATTCAAACAATGATATTGCTTTTTCATAATCCACCGGATGACCACATCTGCCACAATACATGGCAGCGAGAATTAACTTTTACAATCGTTTTGATTTTCTTGTAACTCTCGAAACACGTGAGACAAATGATGAAAACCCAATTTGTATATCTTTTTAAAAATTCAATAATATGCGCAGCATCATGCGGAGTAGCTTGATCGGAATTCATCCATTCTATCAATAATTTCAAGGCTTGCATAAAATCTTTTTGCGCAATATATTCATAGATTTGTTGCGAGAGTAAGACGATATTCATGCTATCGTTGTGAATAATCATTTCTCTCTCGTAGTCATCATCATGATGATCATTGGTGTGTTGTTGTTCTTGTTGAATCGGAATGGATGGATCATCAGTCGAATAAGAATGTTGAAACATTTTTTAAGAACCTCGAAAAGACTCGAGTCAACTCAAAAGTAATTTCAGAAACGCAACTCACTTCTTCATCCTTCTGCTTTTCGAAAGTGGCTTCAACGATCGTTCCTCTTCGTATTCAGATGGACTTTCCTCTTCATCGGAAGTATAAAACGAAGTATCCGAGTCTCCTTGTTCCAACTCAATTTCTTCAATGGATTTGACTCCACGTCCTCGTTTTGAACCTTCTTGCAATACTTGAGAGGAATCTTTGAAACCTTTGGAATCATAGTTTTTGAATTCATTTTCATTGTTGTACATTCTACCAATTTTCATTAATGATTGATGATGGACCGAAGTCAATATTGATGATGAGGATCCCGATGCCTCTAAAAGAGTCTTCTTGTGAGTGGCAAAGGCTTTTGGAATTTTCATTTGAGAGCTAAGGATGGCTTTGGCTTTTTCAAAGGTTTTTCTTCGAGGAGGAGGACGATGATAAGATTGTGTGGTGGTGGTAGTTGGAAGATGGTAAGATTGTGATTCTGTTTGTTCCGAAATTTCGTCGGAAGAAGAGAATGAAGTTTTTTCATTCTTGTTGTTGTTACGGTTGGCTGAATGGATTGTTTTTGAATTGGATGGAGAGGAAATTGTTGAAGAAATTGTTATTGTTTCGGAAGGAAAGGAGGAGTCGAACGACTTCTTCATTTTTTTTATTGAACTTAGCTGCCCGCATATGGCCGAGTGGTTTTTCTGGAACTGTGGCAGCCAACTGGTCCAGCGTTCGAATCCCAGGGGTTGCTGCTGTTATCGTGAGCAGTTTAAACACCTTTACTTCCGGGGTGCCTGCTAGGAAGTCACTACGTATCTTACGTTCGGCTTGTAAATAATGTACATAAAACCATCGAACAACGTTTATCATCGAATAAACCCATCCCTGAATTTTTTTTATTGAACTTGAATAATTTTAATTAAAATTAATAATCTGACATGATTTCATGGCCATGCATTGATGGAAATGACAAGTCCTGGAATTATGAAGAAACTCTAAGAAAATGGTGTTGCAAGGCCATAATTTCAGATTCATTTAAAACAGGAGAGTAAAACATCTGGAAATCCCAATCCTGAAACTACATAATTTCCCTCTGATTTCATTCCAGCATTTAAAATCAAATTGGCTTGATCGAATAATGTCTTGGATCGTGAAACGACATGTGTGAAATGAATGAAATCAAACCATTTTCCTCTCAATTTTGAGAATTCTCCAATTCCAGTAAAATCGTGTTGAGACGAAAAGAATTTTAAATCTCCTTTCACATTGTAAAAGAGAGCAATGGTGTACTGGTGTGGATTTTTGTGTATGTCTCCTCGAAAAACAATCATGTGAGAAATGAGTTTTTCAAAAGTAAATTCAGTGTCAA